ATTACATTAAACAGGCCCTGAGCACCTGTGCTCTGTGGCTGGGGGAGGCAAATGTCCTGTCATAATTCTCAGGAGAGAGCAGTTTGTGACCTATATCATTAATTAGCAATGAAATAGTTCTCAACTTGGGCTAGCAGCAAGACTTTCTTTTAAATATTTTAGTTCCTTGGTTCCAACTGTCCAGTTGGTCTTTGTTTCCTAAACTTGCTTCAGTGTGTATTGAGGAGCACTTGAGCTAAAATTGTGGCTGTAGAATACCCTACAAGAATGGTGGTGCTTCAAATAATTTACTCAAAAATTTGTATAGCTTAGCATTGAACTGTTTTCGCATTAAATTAATTTACTTTTGGAAACAAAAGCGATCCTGCAGTGTCTTACCATGCATACATTATTAATTATAATCCATTTTTAATTTAATGAAAAATTATGTAAAGAGCAAGGGAGGAAGGCTTGCAGCATCCTTGGTCCTTCTCTGCCTAGATAACCTCAAGCAATCGAAGAGGTTATATTTAAAATCCTCTCTTGCCTGGCACTTTTATCTTCTTAAATGGAATAGTGTTTAAAGTCAGAGAAGCTATCAAAGGTGGAGGGAAATTACTGACAGAGGTGAGAAGTGGTAAAGAATTGCATAATCCTGTTCCTTAAGTAGTTGACAGAAATTTCTGTTAGAAGAGAATTGTCTGGAACAGGAGTTGCTGTTGCAGCTTCCCAAAATTTATTTAGGTGGTAGAAAGCTGAATCGTTATGTAATCAAATTATCTGTGTTAACTCTATCAACCTGAAGTTAAATTAATTGGTCATGGGTGCAACCATATCATAAAGCAGCTTTCCAGGTTGGAGATTTGTTTTGAGTTTGATTCTCAGCCATCCCCTGTTACTCCAAGGATTAAGAGGTAAATATTTCCAAGCCATTTGCTATTTTAACAGCAAATTAGAGCTTGCAGTTAGTGATACCTCTCTGCTCTGCTCTCCTAATTGAAAAAACAGCAACAAACCCCCAATTTGAGTCAGGCTTTTAATTTTGTTATTGTGATAATTCAGGTCCTAAATAGAGGGAAAGCGAATCTGACTAGAGAGAGATCTTGTCTGCATTAGAAAAATGATCTATTACTGTCAGAACTTACCTCCAGCAGAAAGAACCCAGCCCATGTGCAGGAAACCTGTGAGGTTATATCAAACCATAACAGTTTTGAGCCTGGTTTTCTAAGAGATCTCTTAAAGACCTTATTTAAATGTGGCACTTGAACATGCACAGTGGTATTCCGAATAACTGGTGAATTCTAGTTAGCTGTGAAACAAAATCCTTATTAGTTGTTTAGCTGTACAGTCCTGAGCCCTGGCCTTGGAGAAAGGCTGTGCTGTACTGAAAAATGTACAGATAAAAAGCAAGAGAGGCTCTGGCCTTGGTGGCTTTGCAGCTCAAGTGCAGAGAACAGGTAGCCCTGGGCGAGGGGAGAGGAGCTGGAGGTGGGATCTCAGCATGGAAACATGGGAAGCAGCAGCAGGGCACTGTCCTGTGCTGTGCCCCCAACACCTGCCTGTGTAGGGAGTGCATGTGCTCAGTCTCTCTGCACCTTCTCTCTGCTTCTCACAGCTTTCCAGGTAGTTGGAAGAGTCTCCTGGAGCTGTAGTGAATACATGTCTCTAATTTTTCCCACAGCTATTTCTACTCCTCTAAGCAGGGTAGTAGACCTTAAGCTGTAGCAGATGCTGTGTGGACAGTGTCTGTTGTGCTTTTATGCTTTATCACTTTCTGAAGTGACAGCTTTGGTTTTGCTTTTGTTCTGTTTCATTCAGCTTGGATTGAACACTGTTCACCAGGAACTATGAAACTGGTTTTTAGTCTCATTTCTTTAAGCAGAAGTTTATCTTCCATCTGTGGTCACCTTAGGGTGCAGTATTTTACTGTACTGCACCTGGGTAGAGAATTCCCACAGGATATCTCACCTTGTGTTCCCATTCTGTTGGTGCTTTGGGGTCTTGGACCATGGGGGACCTCTGCCCTGACTCTGTCCCCATCACTTCATGCGAATCCTTCACTTCTCAGTGTGCTTCTGTTTTCTCCTGTCTTGGAATTTGAATTAACTTCCCCACTCAAGTCAGAGAGGTCAAGTTCACCAGTTGAGGTTTATAATCCCTGGGATGAATCCACCCAGTATCCCTTGGTCTCTGTCACTGGGAGCTGCAGGTGAGGGGTCCAGGGACAGGAAATGTGTTTAAACAGCTCCTGCAGCCCAGCAGCCACTGCTGCAAAATGAGAACAGTTATTTTTTCCTAAATGGACATGTTGTTTCCTATTAAGTTCTTCTATCTTTAGGTTGTCCCATTCCTGCATGTCTGTTTTGGTGAAACAAATCAAAATTAGCATTGGGAAAGAGGGATTTGGAAAGGATCATTAAGCTTTCTAGGCACAGAACTGGTATAACCTGTTTGACTTTGCTCAGCTTTGCCAAGCTGGAATCTTCCCTGTCTCCTCTAAGTGCTGAGCTCATGCTGGGCCTGGCTGTGTCCTTAGGCATCTGGGCTGATGAACAGGGTTATTGTCACTCAGTTATACAGTATTTGATATACAGCACTGATCCAACCATTACAGACTAAAAAAGAACAGTTGTACGGACTGTTCTGTATAATTTGGTGTTGTGCAGCCTCTTCTATTGAATTTTAAACAAGGTGGTGTTTTGGAAATATTTTTGTCTTTCTTAACTTGGTGTCTTGCTGAGTCTAAAAAGCATACAGAATTTCACCTCCCCAAAATCTTCATTTATACTGATAACCCTCAGCATCCTGCTGAGTTGAGAGGAGCTATGTGCAAAACCTTTAGATTCCACGTGGAGTTGCCATGGGCTGCAGCCAGACAATATCCAGTATTGCTACAAATTCTGGCTTGTACCTTTGAGCTTCAGGCAGGAGTAGCAGTGATAACACCACAGAAAATCTTGGGCCGTTTCACAGCTCTGCATTCTGTACTGATACAGAAAGATTAAAATGACTTGATGAAGGTCACACAACACGCTGATTGCCAAGCCAGGACTGAAGGCCATCCATCATCCAGGCTTTCCTCTTATTTGCTAGGCCTCGGTACCTTGGATGGAGAGCTCATCATCCTCACTGATGCACTGGTGGTCTGATGAAGGATTTCAGTCTTCTAGTGGGATCTGAAAGTTAGGTTGTAATAATTATTTCTCATTTCTGGTTTGGTGTATGAACTAGAAATTGTAATAGCAGTTTTTATGCAGCTCTTTTTCAAACTGGCTGCATAAACAGAGAAATAAATTAAGGCTTACAAGTCTCCTCTGGGAACGCAGTAAATATTACCCTGTTTTCCAAAAGGAGGAAGCAGAACAGCATACACATCAATGTGATATATCCAAGGTTAACCAGTTGGTAGAGCTGGGAGTAACTCCTGCTCGTATGGTCCTTATTGGTCACTTGTTTAAGTGTTATTTAGGGGTCGGACCACGAAGGGCAGGTGAAAACATCCCTGCATGGATCCGAGGGACGGGGATGGAGGTGCTCACGACAAGAGATGCCTCTTGCTCCTGCAGTCGGGAAAGGGTTACAGCTGAAATGTCTGTAGCAGCCTCAGGAAAATGTGAATCGGTGCTGTTGAGGGAGGGCAGGATGGGAGCCCAGACCAGCGAGCTGCCTTGTACTTTTACCTTATGAATACCCCCTTTTGAGGGGGTTAAACCCGGGGCTAAGGAGCATCGCGGCGGGGCTGGCGTGGGAGCAGCCCCTGCCCCTTCCCTGCCCCGGCAGCTCCATCCCGCTGTCGTGCGGCTGTGCTGTGTGCCCTGTGAGCCGTGTGCCCTGAGCTGTGTGCCCTGTGTGCCGTGTGCCCTGTGTGCCGTGTGCCCTGTGCCGTGTGCCCTGTGTGCCGTGTGCCCTGAGCTGTNCTGTGTGCCGTGTGCCCTGTGCCGTGTGCCCTGTGTGCCGTGTGCCCTGAGCTGTGTGCCCTGTGTGCCGTGTGCCCTGTGTGCCGTGTGCCCTGAGCTGTGTGCCCTGTGTGCCGTGTGCCCTGTGTGCCGTGTGCCCTGAGCTGTGTGCCATGTGAGCTGTGTGCCATGTGAGCTGTGTGCCGTGTGCCCTGTGTGCCCTGTGAGCTGTGTGCCCTGTGAGCTATGTGCCGTGTGCCCTGTGCCGTGTGCCCTGTGTGCCCTGTGCCCTGTGTGCCCTGTGCTGTGTGCCCTGTGAGCTATGTGCCGTGTGCCCTCTGTGCCCTGTGCCGTGTGCCCTGTGTGCCCTGTGCCCTGTGAGCCGTCTTCCAGGTGTGCCGTGTGCCCTGTGAGCCGTGTGCCCTGTGTACCGTGTGCCCTGTGTACCGTGTGCCGTGTGCCCTGTGTGCCGTGTGCCCTGTGTGCCCTGTGCCCTGTGTGCCGTGTGCCCTGTGTGTCCTGTGCCCTGTGAGCCGTGTGCCCTGTGTACCGTGTGCCCTGTGAGCTGTGTGCCCTGTGAGCTATGTGCCGTGTGCCCTGTGTGCCCTGTG